GTTTGAACTGATCACCTTGTGGTTAGCAACCCAGCACTTAACCACTGTGCCACCAGGGCGCCCGCTGAGTAATAGGGAGCTGGGAGATGATGTCAATGTCTGGGGGCTGCATATTCCTGCTGCACATGCCACGCTGTCGGCAGTGACAGCCATCGGGTCCTTTTGAGCCTCCGGATTTTCAGCGGCTCATTTGGGGGAGTAGATCACCAGGCTGTTCTTAGTCTGTCCTAATCGGGGAACCTGTTCGGCACAATAGCAACATTCAAGACTGGTGGTGGCTGCACTTGAGGCACACTGCCTGGGTCTGGAGACACCGTCTGTCAACCACGTGCGTGGGAAGCAAGACTTGAACTATGAACCATCCACACCCCAAACAAACAAGAGCAATAATACACAACCTATTGTTCTAGAGGAGGACTGTCCAGCAGGTTTCCCAGGCCATAAATCAAGCTGACTAGCTCATCTTTATCTTGAAGAAAGGTCGATGAGTTCGAACAGCAAACCTCTCAGTTACCACTTAACCGTGGCGCCACCAGGATTCCCTTAAAACTTGGGTTCAGCAACCCCTCCCCTCTCGAGCTCTAAACACAAGCCTGCAGGCAGAATCTGGCAGAGTGCCCCCTTGCATCCCCCCTCCCCCAATCCCCAGGCCCACCCTTCCCAGCTCCGACAGCAGTAAAGGAATACCTTTGGGTCCAGCTGACCCCACCCGGGGTTGGGGTTGGGAACCTCCTGTGTCCTCAGGTTTGCTCCAGGTAATGATCATACAGGCCGACTCCTTCCCTTTCAGCATTCGACACGTCTGGCTTTGAAAAAGAAAGGAAACTTCTGGCTCCACCTCCAGCCCAGTCCTATCTTTGACTCCCTTCAAGGACACTTTTGAAAAAGAGCTGTTTACACAAGCCGTGTCCATGTGCTCACCTCCCACTCACTCCTCATTTTACATTAATTTGGCTCCCGAGGCCACCGAACCAAAGACGTGGTTTCCAGGGAACCACCGATGCTTTCCTTGCTGCTTCCTTCAAAAGAGCCACTTCTGGGTTCCGGGGCCCTGGGCACTGTGGGCCACCTCCTCAGATGCTGCCCCAGTGCCTGAGGAACTCTTGTCTTTGTCACTCTTGCTCCAGGACAACTTTTCTTTCTCCGTCAGTGGCCCAAGTGTGGGTCTTTCTCAGGGCCTTCTCATTGGCTTCTTCAACATCCTCGCCCTCTAAATTCCTCCACTCCCAGCTTCCCTCTCACCATACCCCCCCATTTCCTCCAAACAGTAGGAGTTTACCTCTGCTTGGCTATTAATAGCACCCTCCCCTCCCCCCTCCCCCAGTCTCAGTTTTACGGCGCCTTTATCAATTGCCATTTGTATGCAGATGACATCAATAGAAACCGTAAAGCCCGATGGCCGAGCTGGTGGCCGTCAGTCGGCCTCCGCGGTTCTTAGCCAGTTTCAGCCTTGCTGGTCTGAGACCCTGACCGAGGTAGATTATTTAACCGCTCAAACCATAGCAGCAAAACAGGAAACTTAATTCCATTAGGTGTCAATGGATTAGTCCATGCCCTTATATTAGCCTGAGACCAGCCACATTTTTTAAATGCTCAGCACGGGTCCATCCGAGTTGAAAATCTATTGGTACCTTTCTTTCCTCCAGCTCAGACCGGTCTCCGCAGTTCCGGACCCATTCAGGTCCAAAGGATAAATAAAGTTCCTGGGGAGCGGGGTGTAGGGGAGGGGTGGGGGAGGGGGTGGGTGGAGGTAGGGCAGGGGGTTGGGAGAGAAGTCACTTGGGCTGTGTGGGTCTCTTTTCACTTCCAAGTTCTCCGGACATCAAATGATCCTTCCATCCCGTGGGGGCTGAATCCTGAAGAGAATTCTGTGACCCCGGGACAATCGTCCTCAAGTGGATTACTGATCGGGGTGGGCCTGACAACCTCTTCTCCCGGTGCATTTTCAGGGCGCTGCTTGCAATTTCTACGGAACGGACACACTGGCCTGGGGGAGTCAACTCTGCTTCGCAGATCCTTAGGAACCCATTTTTTCTTTTTTCATGACCGTGGCTGTTTGCGGAAAACAGCAAAAGTCCTTGAACAATAGCCTGAATGTAGACGGTTTCAACCATGCCCAAAAGACAACAAATGAGACAAAAACATCTCTCTTGAAAACACACTTCCCAAGGGGCAGTGTGGTGATCCCTTTGGAGAAGCTATGGACACGGACCGATTTCATCACTGCTTTAAGTTTTACAGCGAATGACTTTGGACACATTTCCCTTGATCTTTAAAAGATGGTCTGGCTTACTTTGCACAAAGTATCATTTCCCAAACATCCTAGTTTTTATTCACCTGCGCCTTCTGACGGAAAACGTTATCATCTAGGTTTTTGTTTGTTTTTTAAGCTTCACATGCATCTTCCGTTCTTTTCTCAGACTGGATTTCTTCCAGACCCCTCCCAGCCTGCGGAGGACCCCGCGGGGGTGCGAGAGCCTGGGGCCTTGTTTTCATGTTTGCATTTGCTCACGTGACTCAGCCTGGAATGTCCCCAAACTCCTTCCACTTTCTGAGATGATGTGCCTGTTTGAAGGTCCCTCTAAAAGGCTCAGGTGTAGAACCTGCCCTGTGCTTCCAGACAGAATACTTGCTCCTCCCTCCCACCCCTATCATTAATTATACTGCCCAAGTACCTGGCCACACCACGCCGGTGCATTCCGGTTAGGGAGACCTGGTGTCACAGTGCTTAAGCCCTGGGTTGTGCAGACAAGGTCTGGTGTTTCCAACCCACCAGCCAAGATGCCGCAGTCTGCTTCCATTTAGAGAGCCCACTAACGACTGGTCGATTTCCCACCCATAGCAACCCGATAGCACAGGAAAGAACGACCTTGCGTGGTTTCGAACTGAGGCTGTAAATCTTTCTCTGAAGCAGAACGACTACCACGTCTATCTCCGAGGAGCAGCTTCTGGGCTTTTCTGTTACCAGACCCATTCTTAAGCCACTGGGCTACTAGGTCTCATTCCATAAAGATTATGTACTTCGATGGGGGTGGGGGGCAGGTTGGGGACATAATTAGTCCTTGATGGTCAGAGGTGAGTTCCCTCATTCTTGTACCTGGCACACCCAGTACTTACACATAACAATAGTTATGAGCACTTACTATTCTGTGTCAGGCCTGGCCTATTCTCACAAACCACTGAGGTAAGATCAGTCAATGAAGGGTGGGTGTATACATATGGGAAGGGCGGAGGGTACTGCCAATTACCTAGGGTTGCCCACTTGGTAAATGACAGCTTAAAAATATCTTTATGGGATGGATGGTGTTTTATTGACAGAAAAATTTCTGTCCCATTATAGAGTTTAAGATGTTTTGCTTCTTAGGTTAAAAGCCAAAGGTTTTTAACTTCTGCTATAAATATTTGCTGACATTGGCAAGGGGGTGGGGAAGGCCCAGGAGGAGCTTATCTAGAGAGAGAATATTTTAATGTTGATTTCTTCCTTTTGAATTCTCTTGAGAAAAAGCAAAAAAAAACAAAAAGTTTTGTGCAGTTTTTAATTTTTCTTTGAAACAACAAACAAAGCAGGCGTTCAAACACTTAGTTCAGCATCCATCACGCTGAGTTACCTGATCTTTCTAAGGAAAAGCGGACAATTTGGTGCAACAATTGAGCTATATTTGCGTTTGAAATTTGTTTATATTTCTGCTAGCTACATGGTAGTCTAAATAGTTGCTGAGTGAGGTATTTCCTATGATTGAAAGGAAGGGTGATGAAGTAGTTTGTAATGGCCAGTTGCTTTGAATGGATAAACACACAGGCTGGACTCTGAAAATTCACGTGTTTCTCTTCATGCAATCCTGTCCCCAGACAGCCATGTAACCAGTGGCAGGAACCCTGGGTCCATCAGCGGGCTTGGGTACAAGTTCGATGTCTGCCACCCCCAGTAGTCACTTCACCAGGTGGATCTCATTTCTTCATCCTTTAAATCAGTGCTTCTCAACGACCCTTTCATACAGTTCCTCTTGTTGTGGTGACCCTCCCAACCATCAAATTATTCTCGTTGCTACTTCATCACTGTCATTTTGCTGTTATGAATTGTAATATAAATATCTAATATGCAGAATGTATTTTCATTGTTACAAATTTAACATAAGTAAAGCATAGTGATTAATCACAAAACAATATGCAATTACGTATTGCGAAATATTTGTTTCTAATTACAGGTAAATGAAATTTTGTCTGGAAGCATGTGTAGCATAGGCAACAGTCATGACGCCGGGTACTCGTGTTTGGGCCTATCTGCATGTGGGCCGACACGCCTAGAGACAGATAGAGGAACGGTGTCTCGGTTCCTAAGACCATAGGAAATATGTGTTTTCTGATGGTCTTAGGTGACCCCTGTGAAAGGATCGTTCGACAACCCCCCCAAAGGGGTCACGACCCACAAGTTGAGAACTGCTGCTTTAAATGAATGAAGCGTAGAAATATCTTCTGTGCCCCACTGAAGGCACTATACAACCAAACTCACTGCAATTGAATCCAGGCCGACTCACGGTGTCCCTATCGGACAGGGTAGAACGGCTCCTGTGAGTTTCCGAGACTGTAAGTCTTTATGAGAGTAGAAAACTCAGTCTTTCTTCCAGAGCGGTTGATGGTTTTGAACTGCTGACCTTGCAGTTAACAGCCCAGTGCATAACCACTATGCGGGCAGGGCTTCTTGCTCCTCTAAAGAAATTACACAATTAAGATGCTATGTTATTTTATCCCTACTGGTATTGCTATTAACAATTTAGTGTCTGAGTGCTGTAGGACAAAATGTTTTCATTTCTTTTTCTTCTTCTTTTTTTAAATAAAAATAGGAAGAGCCAGCCTCTGAAGCCTTGGTCCCTGCCCCTACTCTTTGACTGTGTGGCCCAGAAGCCCCAAATTCCTTTTTCCACTTTCTGCATGTTTCTAACCCAGTGAATTGAAGCAGGGTGAGGGCGAGGGCAGGTTCACTGGGTGAGGAAGCCGACGGCTCTGCTGGAGAAAGGAGGGTACTCTTGCCCTGACCCCCAAACTGACTTCTGACGCCTGGTCTTTCGCTGAGCCAGGGCTTTGCTCCCTTGGGCTCCAGGTTGGCCCTATGAACTCCTCCCCCTCCTGGGTGACCTGCTCCCAATGCTTGGCTTCTCCCTTACCCTCCAGTTCCAAAATACGTCCTCAGCTGTGCCCTGCTCCCGGTAGGGTTAATGGTGGAAATCAAAGGGCAGGACGCTATGTTCTTGTTGGATGCCATTGTCCAGTGTGTTACGACTCGTAGTGACCCCATAGGAAAGGGCAGAATCATTCCATAGGGTTTTCTAGTATTCTTATAGGGTTTTCTTTACGGGAGCTAGGTCCATGATTGCTAGGTCTTTCTGTGGAGGAACGCATGGGGTGTTGAACCATCGACCTTTCTGTTAGCAGCAGCCAAACCCACAACTGTTTCAGTAAGT